CTTTCTGTTGCTGTTAAAAGTTAAGCTTACAAATAGGCGTTCCATAGAAATTCTTCTGTTTAGTAGAGGGTGGAAATGAAATCTGCTTTGTTGTCTGATTTGAGTAGAAAAAGATAAAATGAAAGTAAGTGAAACCTCATTAAATGTTATTGACATAAATAATGTTGAAGATAGCATATTCATCTTTGGATACGATAATTGCCTTGCAGCCGAATGAAAAAATGGCAAATCGAATTAAAACTCCGACAAATGTTAAGCTACTCACCAATGTAGCAGTGGTCCGAATGAAGAAATGCGGAAAACGATTCGAAATCGCATGTTACAAAAATAAAGTAATTAACTGGAGGAATAAAACGTTCGTTAATTATTTTATTTCATAAAGGAATGGAGGATTTCTATGAGTACTTCGGCGAGCTAAGCTGTTCTTGAAAGAGAATGATAATGAAAGGAATAGATTGTTAAGCTCGTTATAATGAAAATGTGACATTGGATACTCAGATAATCCAAAAATAATGAGTACAACATACCATCAATAAATGATAAATGACCTTATAAAGTGAAGTTTAATTTCAGAGAAAAAGATATCGATGAAGTTTTGCAGACACAAACGGTATTTAATAATGTATCTAAAGGGCAAGTAGCGAAACGTGAAGAGCTGAACACTGCTTTCGGTACGGACAACCAATTGGAAATTTGTAAAATAGTAAGTTGAAAAAATACAAAACTTTGATTCTTTCAACATTATTTAGTATTCAGCAATCTGCAGTCAGTCTTAGATTTTTTTTGTTTTTAGAGTTTTTAATTTTTTTTTTAAAATTTCAGATTCTAGAAAAAGGTGATCTTCAAGTTTCGGAGAAAGAGCGTCTGGCGCAGTCCGATTCGTCATTTAAAGAAATTGCTAATTTAATAGCGAACATGTGTGTGAATCCAGATACAAAACGTCCCTATTCTAGCAGTGTTATCGAAAATGCTTTACATGAAACACATTTAAGTTTGAAGCCCAATCGTTCAGTAAAGCAACAAGTAAGAAAACCATTGAAAATTTTGTTTTTGGAACTTTTCGGGGGATTGCTTTCAGCTCTATAACTTCCACAGGTTTACTTTTAATAAATTATGGTTACCATATTAAGGCCTTGGAAATAATTCCCAAATTGCGTGAGTCAATGAAAATTGACCGAGCAGAGATGCGACTTCGAGTGTCTGTTGAAGCAAAAGAAGCTAAACGCATGCATGATCGATTAAAAGGGATGTTCACAAAAATTGAAGTCGAAGATTGGGAGCAGGGAAATCTTGAGATGGTAAAGCGTTCAGTATTCAGTTCTTCAAATTTCAGAACTTTTTGTTCAAGTTTTTCAAACATCAACATTTAAGGCTTTATAGTAAATGTACTGTTCAACCATTGTTTCAGATAGGACTAATTGATCCGGGTGCATACCGATCAGTAGAAGAATTGCTTCAGAAGGAAACAAAAAAGGCAGGACATTTGGAATTATTAGCGCTTAAAGTTATTAATGAAGGTGATGTTGAAATCTCATAATTTATTGTAAGTCATTCCATAATATAAATTCCGCTCCAATCGGTTTCGAACAATTTGGAGTAAAATAATCATGGTTTTAATTATCGATCGCAGTTGCTCAAAATATCTGTGTTGATTTTGTATAACTTCGTCTTTGGCTCTGGAAACTTTATAATTCGATGAAGTAAAGAGTAATTAATACATTTTTTTCCTTTTTTTAAAGTATGTCTGCAATTTCTGAGATTGTTTCGATTAAACGTTCAGGAATACATATAATAAGTGGAGACAAATAATTTTTGTTAATTTTTAATAAGTTCTGGGAATGAAAGGAACATATATCTTCCTTATTAAAGCAACGTATTATTAACAAGTAACAGGAAAGCAGAAATGAAACTTGTAGAGCATAACAGAATTTTGATACCTCATGGAGTTTTCAACGGTGGACCAGTTTTAAATTTTGAATCAATAACTAGTAGCCTTCCGATAGTTCAATGAAATATGCTGCTAATTAGCAAGATAGTGAATAGCAAGCTGGTATTATAATGGAGTAAGAAGCTTTTGGCTTCGGTTTTTAACTCCTATTAATGACAATCTTTTTTAAAGCTAAATACGTTTGTTTCTTATTTCTATAAAAAAAGCTAGAAGAACCACTTATTCCTAAAATATTTCATTTTTTTTACGATAAGATATTTTTTATTTCGTAACACACCGGCAGAATATCATGAAATGAACTTGACATACAGAATAAAAGAGAAGCATACTATACATTGGATATGATTTGGTATAGCAAAATTACAATCCAATGACGTAATTAGAAATGAGTGAGAAACAGCGATGACTGATCAGCACAGTAACTGATATTAGAAGATAACTTGTTTTTTGAATGCATTTTGTACATTTCAAAAATAATCTACTTTTAGTTGAATATTTGGTGAATTAAAAAGTTAGTAAAGGTATTACCACAGAGTAACAATAATCGAGTAGTAGTAGATGAACTGAATATTGTGCAAAATCATTACGTTTTATCAATTCTTCGGAGAACAATTTTAATTTGAAAATTCTTTTAGATTCAATTGAAATGTTACATCTTTAAATTCTCAAAAATGTTTCGTGCAAAAAGAGCATACATCGTTCATTACTTAATCTGAAAAAAAATTTTATTAGAAATTCATGTGAAGAACTGCAGTGGAAATGATGAAAATGTGGAATTTTGTACAATTATCTGAAGCGCAGTCTTCGCTCCGTGTAGAACTCATTGCTATAACAAAAAAAGAATGAAATGGAAATGTTCATGACAGACTTGACGGATGAATATCAGAAATGTGTAGGAATGATAATGGAATGATTGAGTCGATCATGATTGTTTTTAAAAAATGGGTAGCCATAGCTAATAATGGATTTACTGATTGCTTAGTTTAAAACAATTATTAAAATTCACATGATCATTAGAAAGGATGTAAACTGTGACAATATTCCATAACATAAACAAATTGATTATGCTTGGAGAATGTCCATTACAGGTATTTATTATCGTAATGTGGTCATTAGGTGGGCAGACACAACAATGGACAATTAGGGGATGGTAATTTAGGCGGTGTGTTAACTAATAATTGTTATTATATTGAAATGGAATGATATGCAAGTATGAATAATTATGCTTGAAAATATTCACAAAGGGACTAGCCGAAATTGAGAATTGGAGAGAGAATATTTTGGTATATTTAAATATATTGAAATTCTGGAATTCGATAAATATGAACAGGATATTATCATTCGAAGTAACAATTTCTGCCACTTTAAATCAACTGAAAACTTAACTTCAATGAGGAGACAAACGGTTGTTAAAATTAATTTAAATAATGACCGTTCAAATCGTTTGGAAAACGACTTCAAAACAATTAGGCAATAGTGATCAATTGAATGCCCTGTATAAGCATTGTAAACATGTGATCATTGCTAAGTAGCTAGGATGATAATTTAACTTTGCCATTGGGTAACATTACTGGATAAGCTTTCCATTCCGGATCAGTGATAATTGTCAATGCTTGAATGGGATAATAATTCCTTTTCCAATACTAAACATTCATTTTTTAGTGACGAAGAAGTTTTTTGCATTTAAAAACAGTTTTAGGTGAGCTCTTGGCTATTGTCCTAATATGCTGAGTGAGAGAGAGATCAGCATCAGTTTCCTGGCTAATTTTTACAAGCATTTGCAAGAGAATATTAGGATATAATCCTTGGCAAGTTCAGCACTGACAGTTTATCGTTTTGCAGCATAAGTTAAACCACAAAAGTTAATTAACTTATGGTTTAACTTTTAGGAGTAATTATTGAAGATCATTTTGGAAAAGATGCACTCTTTATTCAGTTATTATTATCGTGGAGTGCAGAAGATTATGAAAGTTATTGAAATTATTAGAACGTTCTAAATCAATTAAATTTTAATAAGCTTCTTTTTTTAATTTCTAGAAAAAATTCATAAAAATTGCAAAACTATCAACTGTAACAAAAGAAATTTGGTTTCTGAATAAAATAAATTTTTTTTTTCTTGATATTTCACTGATCTGGTTGATTCCATTTTCAATTTTTAGCATCGATCAGATAAATGAAATGGTAAAGCTAACAAAATTAGTGTAAACTAGTTCCAAAGAGGTAGGAAAAATTGTTCAAGAAATTAACTGTAAACATATGTAACTCTAAAAAATTTTTTTTTCACCGCATCTGAGTACACAGTATAGGTAAGATTTAAATGAAATAGTATTTTTTGCTTGTGAAATCTTACAAACTATTGTTGGCGATAGATGAAGCAATTAGAAATCCGGATTTTTTTTTCATTTCATTCAAAAGTAAACAAGTAAAATAATAAATACTAGTAAGACAAGACTAGAAGATTTTTATTGGTGCATGAATAAAGTACGCTATAAAGTAAATAATCATTCAGAAATAGTTCTTGAGCAAAATTTATTATTAATGGTAGTATTAATAGTACAGTATTAGTGAGACAGGTATATTATATTACAGGTATATAATGCAGAAAATTTCATATCATTAAATTCCATTGCAATTTTCTTTTTTAAAATATGCTTTGAATATTTGAGTGCTTAACAATATTTGAATATTGCAAATTGTGACTTTTTATGATTCTGAGGTAGAACTGTTTGTGATTTTCTAAGAAAGGAAGAGGGAGGGAGAGAGAGAGAGAGAGGGTGAGTGAGAAAGCAGAGCATAAATAAACTTTTCTGAAGGCTAATGGAATATCTTAATTTGTCACTGTTGAAAAAAAAATTCAAAATTTGATCCTCCCTTTTACCTCAATATTTTTTATTTATGATAATATGATGATTGGAATGAAGTTTATTGTAGACGAATTTTTTTTAATATGATAAGAAAGATAAAAATTAGATATGAAATATTTCTTTAATAAATAATTCAATGTGACAATGTTATTTTAACACGAATTTTTATTATAATACCTTTATACAGAATGTCTTGGATTCGAGAACTAGAAATAGTACTCTTTTCAGTCGAACTATTGATTCTTTCTAGCATTGAACAGGTAAGAGTTTGACGATGAAAATTATAATTTTGTTAGATTATTAAGAATTTTCTACTAATACTCACAAATAATCTCAGCAAAAATTCTTCAAATTATGCACATTCGTCGGGAAATGATCGAAGTGCGAGAATTCAAACAAACTTCCATCGTAATATCTTACATTTTCCAATGATCAAAATTTCAATAATTATGAATTCATACTTATAGATGAGTGAATCCTTCAATGATAGTCCATTACCTAGGCTGTCATCGGTTTACGGAGTATTCCCGAACATTTCCATCATAAATCAACAACAATCCTCGAGAGAAATGATTGTCCCGAAGGGAGCAACAAGATGGATAGGAGCTGCTGTAAAACTCCCATTCAAAAATATTAATATTCAAGGTCTTAATTCGCCTGCTTTACATCGAGGTTTGTCCATTTTTAATACATTCCCTAATTGAATACACACACTAATAATCTCATCCGATAATATCATTTTATCATATAAAATATCATATTGCATTAAAATTTCATGCGTTTAAAATTATTTTGAAAGAGTTAGTTACAGATTCACCGGAACCGTATTCTGGATTTGGAATTATTCGTTTATATAGTATGCGTTTTTGCCCATATGCTGAGCGAGCTATAATTTATTTAGCTAAAAAAGGACTACCGTTAGTTTTAATTTAAATTCAAAAATTCAAAGCAAATAAATGATTTTCAAAAGCATGTGAAAAAAGCATGCGAGATACATTCATTTTATAAGACTTCTCAGTGGTCGAATATGGAATTGTGGAATTACTTTGACTTCGGTAGGCCACTTATTAATATTTTGTATCTAATCAATAATCAATAAATGTTTAAGAGTGGAAATAAAAAACATCAATCCAGAAAATGTACCAAAATGGTTTTTGAATAAAAGTCCACTCGGTCGAGTGCCAGCTCTTGAAATGAATGGCGTTGTACGTTCGTTCATATGTTGTAAATTCATTTTACATTTCATATTAAATTGTATGATTATTTTAGAATTGAAAATTTTAATTTAATTAAACTTCGTCACTTGAAAAGTAACTAAGCTATCAGGAATGTATGTATTAGATGATAAGTTATAGACAATTTACGAGTCATCAGTGATTGCTGAATATCTCGACGAAATATTCCCGGAAACAGCTATTCTTCCGCGTCATCCACTTTCCAAGGCTAATCAGAAAATTCTTGTTGAAAGGATGTCACCGGTACGCTATTTGATTATCGTATTGTCTGCAAGCGCATTTTGATTTCTTGTTGCGTCATTATTCATTAAGACAGACAAGACCGCTTTTTGTTCGAAGTTATTCTCACATGATAAGTTAGCGCAATTGTCGCTTCTTTTTTTATTTTTTCATCTAAAATTTCAAAGAAATATTTATCCATTCAATATATTTAGTTCATTTCTATAATGTTCAAAATTTTACATCCAAATAATGCTACCATTCAACAAAACGTTGACAAATCATTGCATAATGCTCTCCGGGATGCCGAAACTTTATTAATGGATGACTTTTACGGAGGTTAATAACTGTTAAATAAATTTTCAACAAATTATGACTTAGATAAATTTCATTAATTAAATTATCTCTTCTAAAATTTTTCACTAAATTGAAAGAAACAATTCAATTACTGAAATTTAAGTAATAGACTACAAACAGCAAATAGCATCTTTTATGGAATAAAATTAACTATAACATTTAAAGATTTGATTTTAAAAATTTTCAGGAAAAGTATTAGGTTTTGCCGATATAATGATATGGCCATTTTTGGAAAGATTACAACTTGTAACAGTTAATCCTTACACAGAATTCAGGTGTTTAAAGTTAAAGAATCGTTAGCTTTATCCTAATTCTCAATTATGATATTCACTATTCCCAATATATTATTATAAGCTCGTTGCAAATTTCAAAATTGATAAATTTCATGAAAAACTTTTCGTTCTTTCAGATATTTCCCAGGTATTTATTATCCGAAAATGGGCGCATATATGGCTCGTATGCAAAGACAACCGGAAGTGTGCCTGTCAATAAATAAAATAGCTAACAAAAATATTTGAATTAATAAATATCACCCATTTTTATATCAATTCTTTTTGTACAAGAAAAAAATTCTGTTCAATTTTTGAAGTAATATAAAATTGTTGTACTGTTCAATACTTTCAACTAAGCGAATATTCGAATCAAAATTTTGCATTGTATTTAAAGTTTTTCAATCTATCGCATAATATTAAAATATTACAAAATACTTCAATTTTTCAGATACTATTTGCTCAACGTCCAATTGAGCAGCATGCAGCGTACGTGAACAGCTTTCTAACGGGCCATCCTAATTATGATATCGGTATCAATCAACCATAATATCAGTTGTTATAAAATTTCAACTTTTTTTGAATTGTTCAAGATCATGTAGAAACAATTAATCCCAATTAATTGCAATGCTTTGCTAGTTTTTATCCAAATGATCATCTTTTTTTTCTGGTACCACAAATGTTGAAATTTTACAATCAAAAAAACTATCGGATGAAATGGTTGTAAATGTGGTAAATAATTATACTCATTCTAACTAATTAGTTAACGCAGATTATTTTAAACTTATTAAAACAAGAAATTAGCACTAACACATATATCTATCAATTACATCTCATTATGCTTCCAGCCAACTAAACATATCATTATTATTTAAAGTTAGTATTCACTCGCTTCTTGTGAGAAAATCTGTGAAATTTTAAATGTCTGCCATTTTATTTGTGTGTGTGTATGTGTGTGTGTATGTGTGTGTGTGTGT